ACAATGTGCAGCAACATTAACCCGAACGCGATGTTGCTCGACTTGACGTACTCATCTGACGCTCGCGGGTCAGTGAAGGTTGGAGACGTTTCGCGGTTCACGACGTGCCAGACGGACTTCGTCAAGAACACGCCACGCATGTAGCGACACCAGGTTGAGTAGTTATCCCCATCGAACTTATCGATGGAGACACTGGTCGAGGCGTTGCTGGAGGACATGGCGCTTGGGCTCATAACCTGTTTGTTGACGGTATGGCACGGACGTGACGGGAAGACCGGAAGAGACCGGAGGGAGCGAAGAGGCTTGAGGAGCGGTGCAGAGAACTCTTGTTCGGCAGAAGGAGGATTCGAAAGTGATTGATTCATAGGTCTTAACTCTGCCTACCCTAGACTGCATCCAATCACATGGTGCATCTAATCAACCTGATTTACACGCGTCCAATCATCCTACGCGTCTAATCATCTCTGAGGTAATTACCGACGTAAAAACTATCCCGTAAAAACTACGCTTAAGTTCGGATTGTACCGGTAACCCTCAATAACATCGCTGTCGTTGATGTCGAGAAGATCGAGGTCCAACGTTGCATCACCGACTTCTTCACTTGATGGCTCCATCGAAAACCCGAAAGATGACTCGTCGAAGTTGACATCACGGCTGATCACAACTTGTCCAGCCTCGATGTCAAACACGCGATATGCCTTGGACACTTCTTCGTAGCCCATGAAGATGCCGACACGAGCCTTGGGATCCCACTTGAGTCGTTTCTCCTTCGGGGTCAAGATGTATGCTTGGCACCCGAAAACACGCATGTGCTTGACACTTGGCTTGGAACCGCACACGATCTCGAACGGTGTTTTGTGCGAGATCTTGAATGAAGGCAGACGGTTCTTGACATAGACAGCCGTCATAGCCGCTTCAGCCCAGAAGCGCTTGTCCAGCTTGGCATGATGGAGCATGCTGCGACCGATTGTTACGATGGTCCGAATCGCGCGTTCAGCAGTCCCGTTGGCTTGATGCGCGTATGGCACCGTGGTTTGCTGCTCGATGCCTTCGCCTTCGTAGAAATCTTGAAGCGAGTTCGTTGCAAATTCGCGGGCTCCATCGTGTCGCACAAACTTGACCTTCTTGTTGAACTGCGCCTGGACCATCGTGATGTACTTCTTGATGCACTCTTCACTCTTCGACTTGGCATGAAGACAAAATCCCTTCATGCACCCGCTGGCTTCATCCACAATCAGCAGCAGGTACTTGCTGCCACCCAGAGATTTTTCTTCCATGGGCCCGCAGATGTCGAAGTGGAGCATCTCGAAGGTGTTGTAGGTGCGCTTGTCACGGTTGCTCGGGAATGGTTTTTGGACCATCTTCCCTTCTTGGCATCCTCGACACGCACTTGGTCCATTCGACTTGGAACAGATCGGAGCGTCCTTGATCATGTTGCTTGTCACCATCTTGCGAAGCACGTCGACTGGAGCATGACCCATTCGCGCGTGTAGATCAACAGCGTTGCCGCGTGATGCCACATTGGCCGATCGCTTCGTCGTGCGAAGCCAGTAGAGTCCATCTACAAGATCGGCAGCTGCCACCACTTGGTTGGAATCCTTGCGCGCAACGTACATCGTAGCCCCGTCGAATACCACTTGGAAGTTGCCATGCTTGTTAATCTGCGGCACCGAAAGCAGATTTTTGCTCATGCTGGGCACATAGAGCGCGTTCTTGATCTCGATCTCGCGCTCATCCCCGTTAGGCAGGACCACCTTTTCAACGATAGTCCCCACACCTTTGATAGCTGCCTTGTTGCCATCAGCCACCAGGATCTCGCCATCATTGCCTTCGACCAAGCTTGTAAACTTGAACTTGTCGTGGCAGATGTGATGTGTTGCCCCGCTGTCAACGGCCCACATCCCTGATCCATTCTTGCTCGTCGAAACGCCGCATTCGAACGAAACTGCAAACGTCACTCGATCGTAGCTGCTGCCTTCATCATAATGTAGCCACTGGACATTGTTTGCCCCGCGTCCACGACCATTGCCGCCGCGTCGGGCTCCTCGACTTTCATCCTTTTGCTTCGTCCAGCAACGCTCTGCCGTGTGCCCGACCTTGCCACAATACGTGCATTGGTAGGGCTCGCGCTCGGTACTGAATGCCTTTGTCGCATCTTCAGCCTTCACCGATGTCGTTGCCATCGTCATCTTCTCGCCTTGCAGCTTGGTGTGCTCATTCGTCAGCACTTTGACCACATCTTGCGTACGCAGCTCTGCATTGCTCATCTCCATGTTCAGAACAACGTTCTCGAAGCTCTTCGGGAGACTGCGCAGCAATCAGATCGCAACGTCTTCGTCTTCCATCTTGGCACCGATGCTGCGAAGCTTGGCGCTGATGTTCAGGACTTCGTTGCAATGATGCAAGACGTTGCCTCCTTCTGCCATCTTGATGCTGAACAGCTGGCGCTTGAGGTAGATGCGTCCCGCCTTCTGCGACCCACCATAGAGCATCTTCAACCGCGACCGCGCTGCCCATGCTTCTTCACAGCTGTCGACCATATGGTGGTAGCCCGCGTCCATGTGCAGCAACATCAACCCGAACGCGATGTTGCTCGACTTGACGTACTCATCTGACGCTCGCGGGTCAGTGAAGGTTGGAGACGTTTCGCGGTTCACGACGTGCCAGACGGACTTCGTCAAGAACACGCCACGCATGTAGCGACACCAGGTTGAGTAGTTATCCCCATCGAACTTATCGATGGAGACACTGGTCGAGGCGTTGCTGGAGGACATGGCGCTTGGGCTCATAACCTGTTGAAACTTGAGCGGGAGCCGAAGAGAAAACGGAGCGGAGAGACCGGAGAGAACGAAGCGGAGAACACTTGCTCACTTGAGGGAGGATTCGAAAGTGATTGATTCATAGGTCTTAACTCTGCCTACCCTAGACTGCATCCAATCACATGGTGCATCTAATCAACCTGATTTACACGCGTCCAATCATCCTACGCGTCTAATCATCTCTGAGGTAATTACCGACGTAAAAACTATCCCGTAAAAACTACGCTTAAGTTCGGATTGTACCGGTAACCCTCAATAACATCGCTGTCGTTGATGTCGAGAAGATCGAGGTCCAACGTTGCATCACCGACTTCTTCACTTGATGGCTCCATCGAAAACCCGAAAGATGACTCGTCGAAGTTGACATCACGGCTGATCACAACTTGTCCAGCCTCGATGTCAAACACGCGATATGCCTTGGACACTTCTTCGTAGCCCATGAAGATGCCGACACGAGCCTTGGGATCCCACTTGAGTCGTTTCTCCCTCGGAGTCAAGATGTATGCTTGACACCCGAAAATACGCATGTGCTTGACGCTTGGCTTTGAGCCACACACGATCTCGAACGGCGTTTTGTGGAGAATCTTGGGCGATGGCAGACGGTTCTTGATGTAGATGGCCGTCATGGCCGCTTCAGCTCAAAAACACTTGTCAAGTTTGGCGTAGTGCAGCAAGCTGCGGCCGATCGTGACAATAGACCGAATGGCGCGCTCTGCCTTGCCGTTGGTCTGGTGCTCATACGGAACCGTGGTCTGTCGCTCGATGCCTCCGTTCTCGTAGAAGACCTTGAGCGAGTTGGATGTAAACTCACGAGCTCCATCGTGACGAACGAACTTGACCTTCTTGCCGAACTGGGTCTCGATCTTGAGAATGTAGCTCTTGACGCAGTCTTCGATCTCCGACTTGGCACGTAAGCAGAAGCCCTTCATGCACCCGCTGGCTTCGTCAACAATCAGCAGCAAATATCTCCTGCCGCCGATCGAGACTTCTTCCATTGGGCCGCAGATATCGAAGTGAAGTAGCTCAAACGTGGCATAACGACGCTTGTCGCGGTTGCTTCGCAATGGTTTTTATACCA